CACTAAGTCTCTGTGGCGCAATCGGTTACGCGTTCGGCTGTTAACTGAAAGGTTGGTGGTTCAAGATCACCCAGGGACGAGTTAGGCATTTTGCTGCCTTGCAACTGCTAACATGTGCACTGGACATAGATCCTGGGCCTCATTCTGTTCAGCGTTACAAGATGAAATCAGGATTTAGCAGAAGATTGTCACGGGTAGAAAGGTATTACTGTAAACGGTTTCTGGTTCCTAAAAGAGCTTCTCATCAGCCCGGCTAGCTCAGTCGGTAGAGCATGAGACTCTTAATCTCAGGGTCGTGGGTTCGAGCCCCACGTTGGGCGTTCCTGTTACTTTTCTCTCTCTCTCCCAGCAAACTTACATAAGGTTACATGTAGCAGACTTTGAGACAAAGTTACGTGTTTCTACAACTGTAGTTGACTTTTCACTAAGTCTCTGTGGTGCAATCGGTTTGCGCGTTCGGCTGTTAACTGAAAGGTTGGTGGTTCAAGCCCACCCAGGGACGAATTAGGCATTTTGCTGCCTTGCAACTGCTAACATGGCACTGGACATAGATCCTGGGCCACATTCTGTCCAGCGTTACAAGATGAAATCAGGATTTAGCAGAATATTGTCACGGGTAGGGAAGGTATTACTGTTAACAGTGTCTATTTCTAGTGGTGACTCCTTATTCGCCTGGCTAGCTCAGTCGGTAGAGCTCGAGACTCTTAATGTCAGGGTCGTGGGTTCGAGCCCCTCGTTGGGCGTTTCTGTTACTTTTCTCTCTCTCTTAGCAAACTTACATTAGGGTTCATATAGCAGACCTTTTGAGACAAAGTTCTGACTTTCTACCACTGTAGGTGACTTTTCACTAAGTCTCTGTGGTGCAATCGGTTAGCGCGTTTGGCTGTTAACTGAAAGGTTGGTGGTTGAAGCCCACCCAGGGACGAATTAGGCATTTTGCTGCCTTGCAACTGCTAAACCGTGCACTGGGCATATATCCTGGGCCACATTCTGTCCAGCGTTACAAGATGAAATCAGGATTTAGCAGAACATTGTCACGGGTAGGGAAGGTATTACTGTAAACGGTTTCTAGCTCCTAAAAGAGCTTTTCATCAGCCCCGCTAGCTCAGTCGATAAAGCATGAGACTCTTAATCTCAGCGTCGTGGGTTAGAGCCCCACATTGGGCGTGTCTGTTACCTCTCTTTCTCTCAGCAAACTATCATTAGGGTTCATATAGCAGACTTTTGAGACAAAGTTCCGCATTTCTACCACTGTAGGTGACCTTTCACTAAGTCTCTGTGGTGCAATCGGTTAGCGCGTTAGGATGTTAACTAAAAGGTTGGTGGTTCAAGCCCACCCAGGGACGGATCAAGCATTTTGCTGCCTTGTAACTGCTAACACATGCACTGGACATAGATCCTGGGCCACATTCTGTCCAGCGTTACAAGACGAAATCAGGATTTAGCAGAACATTGTCACGGGTAGGGAAGGTATTACTGTAAACAGTGTTTAGCTCTTAAAAGTTCATCTCATCAGCCCGGCTAGATGCTCAGTCGGTAGAGCATGAGACTCTTAATGTCAGGGTCGTGGGTTCGAGCCCCACGTTGGGCGTTCCTGTTACTTTTCTCTCTCTTTCTCAGCAAACTTACATTAGGGTTCATATAGCAGACCTTTTGAGACAAAGTTCTGACTTTCTACCACTGTAGGTGACCTTTCACTAAGTCTCTGTGGTGCAATCGGTTAGCGCGTTCGGCTGTTAACTGAAAGGTTGGTGGTTGAAGCCCACCCAGGGACGAATTAGGCATTTTGCTGCCTTGCAACTGCTAACACGTGCACTGGACATAGATCCTGGGCCACATTCTGTCCAGCGTTACAAGATGAAATCAGGATTTAGCAGAAGATTGTCACGGGTAGGGAAGGTATTACTGTAAACGGTTTCTAGTTCCTAAAAGAGCTTCTCATCAGCCCGGCTAGCTCAGTCGGTAGAGCATGAGACTCTTAATCTCAGCGTCGTGGGTTAGAGCCCCACATTGGGCGTTTCTGTTACCTCTCTTTCTCTCAGCAAACTATCATTAGGGTTCATATAGCAGACCTTTTGAGACAAAGTTCTGGGTTTCTACCACTGTAGGTGACCTTTCACTAAGTCTCTGTGGCGCAATCGGTTAGCGCGTTAGGATGTTAACTGAAAGGTTGGTGGTTCAAGCCCACCCAGGGACGGATCAAGCATTTTGCTGCCTTGTAACTGCTAACACGTGCACTGGACATAGATCCTGGGCCACATTCTGTCCAGCGTTACAAGACGCTGGGCCACATTCTGTCCAGCGTTACAAGACGAAATCAGGATTTAGCAGAACATTGTCACGGGTAGGGAAGGTATTACTGTAAACAGTGTTTAGCTCTTAAAAGTTCATCTCATCAGCCCGGCTACCTCAGTCGGTAAAGCATGAGACTCTTAATGTCAGGGTCGTGGGTTCGAGCCCCACGTTGGGCGTTCCTGTTATTTTTCTCACTCTCTCCCAGCAAACTTACATTAGGGTTCATGTAGCAGACTTTGAGACAAAGTTCCGCGTTTCTACCACTGTAGGTGACCTTTCACTAAGTCTCTGTGGCGCAATCGGTTAGCGCGTTCGGCTGTTAACGGAAAGTTTGTTGGTTCAAGCCCACCCAGGGACGAATTAGGCATTTTGCTGCCTTGTAACTGCTAACACGTGCACTGGACATAGATCCTGGGCCACATTCTGTCCAGTGTTACAAGATGAAATCAGGATTTAGCAGAAGATTCTCACGGGTAGGGAAGGTATTACTGTAAAGCGTTTCTGGTTCCTAAAAGAGCTTCTCATCAGCCCGGCTAGCTCAGTCGGTAGAGCATGAGACTCTTAATCTCAGGGTCATGGGTTCGAGCCCCACGTTGGGCGTTTCTGTTACTTTACTCTCTCTCTCCCAGCAAACTTACATTAGGGTTCATGTAGCAGACTTTGAGACAAAGTTCCGCGTTTCTACCACTGTAGGTGACTTTTCACTAAGTGTCTGTGGCGCAATCGGTTAGCGCGTTTGACTGTTAACTGAAAGGTTGGTGGTTCAAGCCCACCCAGGGACGAATTAGGAATTTTGCTGCCTTGCAACTGCTAACATGTGCACTGGACATAGATCCTGGGCCACATTCTGTCCAGCGTTACAAGATGAAATCAGGATTTAGCAGAACATTGTCACGGGTAGGGAAGGTATTACTGTAAACGGTTTCTAGCTCCTAAAAGAGCTTTTCATCAGCCCCGCTAGCTCAGTCGATAAAGCATGAGACTCTTAATCTCAGCGTCGTGGGTTAGAGCCCCACATTGGGCGTTTCTGTTACCTCTCTTTCTCTCAGCAAACTATCATTAGGGTTCATATAGCAGACCTTTTGAGACAAAGTTCCGCGTTTCTACCACTGTAGGTGACCTTTCACTAAGTCTCTGTGGCGCAATCGGTTAGCGCGTTAGGATGTTAACTGAAAGGTTGGTGGTTCAAGCCCACCCAGGGACGGATCAAGCATTTTGCTGCCTTGTAACTGCTAACACGTGCACTGGACATAGATCCTGGGCCACATTCTGTCCAGCGTTACAAGACGAAATCAGGATTTAGCAGAACATTGTCACGGGTAGGGAAGGTATTACTGTAAACAGTGTTTAGCTCTTAAAAGTTCATCTCATCAGCCCGGCTACCTCAGTCGGTAAAGCATGAGACTCTTAATGTCAGGGTCGTGGGTTCGAGCCCCCGTTGGGTCTTCCTGTTACTTTTCTCTCTCTCTCCCAGCAACCTTACATTAGCGTTCATGTAGCAGACTTTGAGACAAAGTTACGCGTTTCTACCACTGTAGGTGACCTTTCACTAAGTCTCTGTAGCGCAATTGGTTAGCGCATTAGGCTGTTAACTGAAAGGTTGGTGGTTCAAGCCCACCCAGGGACGAATTAGGCATTTTGCTGCCTTGCAACTGCTAACACGTGCACTGGACATAGATCCTGGGCCACATTCTGTCCAGCGTTACAAGATGAAATTAGGATTTAGCAGAAGATTGTCACGGGTAGGGAAGGTATTACTGTTAACAGTGTCTAGTTCTAGTGGAGACTCTTCCTCCGCCTGGCTAGCTCTGTCGGTAGAGCATGAGACTCTTAATGTCAGGGTTGTGGGTTCGAGCCCCACGTTGGGCATTTCTGTTACTTTTCTCTCTCTCTCTCAGCAAACTTACATTAGGTTTCATATAGCAGACCTTTTGAACAAAGTTCCGCGTTTCCACCACTGTAGGTGACTTTTCACTAAGTCTCTGTGACACAATCGGTTAGCGCGTTCGGCTGTTAACTGAAAGGTTGGTGGTTCAAGCCCACCCAGGGACGGATCAATCATTTTGATGCCTTGCAACTGCTAACACATGCACTGGACAAAGATCCTGGGCCAAATTCTGTCCAGCGTTACAAGATGAAATCAGGATTTAGCAGAATATTGTCATGGGTAGGAAAGGTATCACTGTTAACAGTGTCTAGACAAAGTTCCGCGTTTCTACCACTGTAGGTGACCATTCCCTAAGTCTCTGTGGCAACATTATGAAGCTGCAGGCCCCGAGACCCAACCGCACGCTCAGACCTGCTCGCTCAGACCAGCACTTCCAGACCTATCATTTTCTCAGACAGTGCCACCTGCTGTTGGAAAAATTGCCTAACCTGAATTGATTGATTTATAAATTTTAAATTACACTATTTTTCTACTATAAAATATTGCACTATGATTGAATACATTATTATATAAAATATTAAACATACTAGATTATGATTTAATGCATTAAGTCTGTTGTATTTTAATTAACTGTATTTGTAAATAGATATTGTTCAGTTACTTAAATATTTTCAGTCATTTATTGTTTTTGTTTTTTGTTTTTAAATCATTAAGGATTTATCAAACTCTTTAGTATTGAGTTGAGGGAATGAACATTATCTTATTATTCACAGAATAAATGATAGTACTCGGAGTAATTTTCTCACATCAAACTTTATTTTTTTATAAATTTTCATGAGGTCCTACAAGTCATCGAGCTGTAAAAAATGCAGAGAAAAATTGTGAAAAACAATACTTGGATTAATAATGTATTTATTACATATAAAATAAAATAAAATGCTTTACATTCTTGTTGGGGAGATTTTTCATTTCTCGAGCAATTCTTCTGTTAAATTCCTCAACTTCACTAAAAAAAATAAATAAATGCTGTTGTCAGAAATTGTGTTTAACATAAAAACTTAACAGCTTTTGTACAATAAAATGTAAACATACCTTGCGTGATAAATGGGGCCCTGGAGGAAGACATCTTCAGCCTCCTGCCAAGACAAGCCTTGTAACTCGGAAATGCCATGAGTTATGGCCTGTACAAACATACAGATAAACCAATTAATAAAATAAAACACACACTGCAGAACATAAGCATGCTCATGTACATACATGTTTTGTGATTACCTCTGGGAGGAGACATCCACAAATGAACTCCACCTCATCATTGAAGGTCAGCTGTGTTTTGGTTTTATTAAGAATTCCTCTGATGTAGTCATAAATGATTGACCGGGACTGCTCATTCTCAATGTAGACAGGCACTTGAGAACGGGGTTTAGTGGAAACCAATTTGACCTTTTCCCACTGAGTATATCCTTTGGGCCATAGAAGGAAATTATATTTCATATGTAAATGCACAAGTAATTAATTATATTTGGCAAATAATAGCCAAATTGTCACTTGACTATATTTAAGTCAACCATACTCAGAGTCTAGAGGAGTAATTTAAAGTGGAACCATCTATACCACCAAATGCTGCTCTGGTGATTTTGATGTGATAATCAAGTCCACTAATCTTTTGTCATTCCTTTCCCAATCTTGAACTGCTTGGACATGTGCCGGAAGATTGGATGTGGTTTTTCTTTTCACCCTAAAAAGGAGCAGAATTTTTCCATCCAAGACACTTCTTGCCTTCTCAGTCCAGAAAGCAAATCTGTGCCCATAGCTTTTAATAACAAGACAAGACAAAATCCATAATTACTGTGTAACGTGGAGACTGACACGGAGGGATCCATTATGCAATATTTATTAATCACAACTTCACTCAAACACACAATATGCACCGGAGTGCACACACACATCCACAGTAGTAGTATGGGTATCAAGACTGATGATGAACAGACACAGAGTGAGTTACCAGGCATGAGTGGAAGGGAGTGAGCGAGAACCAGGATCTGTTATGCAGGCTTGGGTCAAGGGCAGGCAGCAAGGATCAGAGTCCGTATAACAGGCGTGGTTCGTGGGCAGGCAGAGAGAGAGTCAGAGTCCGTATAACAAGCATGGGTCGTGGGCAGGCAGAATGCGAAGCAAAGTAAGAGACAGGCTGGAGTCGTGCACAGGAGATCAGGCTGGAGATCATGCTCAGAAATGCTGGCCGGGGCTAAACAAGACTTCGACCTGAACGAGTGTTTGAGTGCGGCTTATAAGAGGTACGTGGGTCATTAGCCAGATTCCAATCAGGTGTATGCGCAATCAGTGTAGATGGATGACGTAATGCTAAAAGTCCGGAGATGGTGGCCTCTGCTGGCCAGCGAGGGGAGTTACTGGGACCGAGTCGGTGACATACTGGTCACTGGTAAGAGAGATTTTAAGTATGTTTTGTTATTCATGTTACAAGTTGTTGTATTGACACAATATAAATTTTTAATTTTACAGATTTACAAGAAAAATAAATAAATACTGACATACCCATCAGTTTGAAATTGTTCCATGAGTAGAAGGCACCACCACTGACGGATGATAGGTATATCCATCTGAAAGAAAGACTGTTTAGTCTGACGTTAACCAACATGTTTTTGTTAATACATGAAGTTGGGTGTGCTTGCAATAACCATGCCCCTTTTTTAAAAAGATATGTTGCTTAGAAGAAAGCAAGATAATATACACTAAAATAGTTACATTTTAACTATGATTTAAAAAAGCACCAACAAAATAAAGTTACATAAATAATAAAATAATACCTCCTGGAATTGAAACCCAATGCCACACACCATTGAGAGGGTGTACTGAAAAGAGAGAAGCCACAGTCATTTACAATGT